TTCCATTGATTCTTGTTAAATAAACCCCTAAAGTGCCATGGAATTAAGGCAATAAAATCAAGTAAAAATAACAAAATCACTTATAATTTATTTCTAACAAATATAAAATAATAACATTAATTTATACTCTTCAACATCCAATGATTACCAAATCAATATAAGCCAGGAAAAACATTTCCCTTGCTTTGAAATTTAGTCAGAAAAGTTACCGAAATTAAAAGTTTCCATTGGAAGCCATAAAACCGCTCCTCATACACACAACACTCACTCTATACGGACTGTTAACCCAATTCACGGAGCGGAGTACAAAAGAAAATGCAACTCTCAAAAGCCATTTAAGCATAATGTGCAATAAAAATTATAAATAAAGCCGCGGCGACGAAGGGTGGTGGGTGGTGGGTGGTAGGCGCCCCAAGACACTCCACGAGGAATGGGCCTCGAATGTTTATGGGTGGCGCGTTCTCATTAGGCAAAGTGTTCGATAATTAAATAGAAATGTAAATCAAGGCATCAGCTGCCTGCCTCTCTCTCTCTCTCTCTGTCGCACGTGTGGCAATTAGCGGGAGATCGGCGCACAGCTGTTTAATTGGCACTAAAGCAAAGATTGAAGTACTCACAAACATATACTTATATATATAGAGAGGGGTGTTTCTATATACATACATATATATATATATATGGGGTTGTCCCCCGATGCTCACGATGTTTATTGAGCGGCAAATCAAACGGCCAGAAATGGGCTTTTACGCAAACAAACAACAACAACATTAAATAAAGTATACATCTTTATTCGCGGATATATATGCGGTATATTCGCCATATAAACATATAGATTCATATTGATGCGGATGTGCGATAACAAAGTAGTTTATGTTTATTTTCGGTGTGCGCGAATGATTTTAATTGGATTTTGATATGAAGTATCCAAAAGCAGGCCACAATCTCCACGAAATCCATTCGCATCCATCGCATCCTCCTCACCTTGGCAGAGGCCTGCCGCTTTCAATCTGTCTTTAACATTTTACACACGATTATTTTTAGTCTGTGGTCTAACATTGAAAATGAAAATGTTTATAAGTATGTTTGCCGCCGTCTAATTCTGCGCATAGTTATTAATATTATTTTTATGAGAATTTCTTGTTTGGATGTTGATGCCGATGACACGGCCAGCGGGGCGTATGCGCTATAAGTGCTGCGCGTGCTCTTCGCTTTTTATTGAGGGGAGGAGTGCGAGCAGCGGTGGTTGTGTGAAAACATAAAAACAAGCCACTTAAAAAAATAGACAAATTGCTATTCCATCGTCGACTACAACCAAATTGTATTATTAAAATATTAAGAGGGCGAAGAGGAGTTCTAGAGAAACATGAAAAGGAAAACATGGGAAAATAAAGATACAATTTGCAAATATAAACATTGAGGTAGCTTTTAAAAATTCAAATTATTCAGAAAATAATATACCAACAATAAAATGAAAATAATATACAGGCTTCTTAGACCTTCATTAATTTGATGTTCAAGGAGCCTGAACACATACGGTAAACCGTTTAAAAAATAAACAAATAAAAATAGCACAATCTGTGATAAACACTGAGTTAAATATTTAATAGGTTTTATCAAGGAATTTCTAGCTAATAATTAGCTGTTTATAAAGGGTAATTGAATGTTTCCTTTAGTGTTGATTTTACATTTAAATCGTATTAAATACATAAATTTATTTACACATATTATAATAATTCCCTTTCGAAACACTATTATGGGTTAGTCATGGAATTCTTGGGCCACCATTGTTGTTTTTCGTACCCTGTTTATTGTGGTTTCTTTTTATCACCGATTCTGCCATGGTATTGGTATCGCGCCTTGGCTTTCTTCATTAGTGTGTTTTAGTGGGCGCCTTGCCAACGATTTTCCGAAACAAATTGTCGTCGCGCTCGACAACATTCCGCACGCTTACGGCTCACACAGACACACACACAAGGGAAGAGTGAGTGCTTCGAGCGGAGCGAATGCGACCCACTGTGACACAGTGGGCCAGTAGTGTTCGTGCTCCACTGTGCACTGGCAGCAGCAATGTGCAGTCTGCAACTTGCAACACATTACTCTTACATATTCTTAATTAAAATCCAACAAGCGCTCGCTCGAAATACAGATACCCAGATACTTTGACTTGGCCATCACATTTGCCAGCCACACCGAAAAAAATCAATTTCAAGTAGATGCTTATTGTGGAAATTGCCATAATTGAAATTGTATTTAATTTAAATTGGAAAAATGAGAGAAGTCTGTGGAAAATATTGTTTTAAAATTGATACAAATTATAACTTGTGAAAGAGATATATTTCAATACTTGTTTAGACTATCTTTTGCTTTGGGGAAATATAAAAATATATATTTTTTCCAGAAAAGAATTCTAGAACTGCAAGTTACAACATAATTTTGATACTTTACTTACAAATGTAAATGTAATTCAAAGACCTATTCTGTTTTTTTAAATTCAGTCAAATTCTAAATACTACTTAAGAAAGTTGTAAATAAATTCCCTTTTTAAGTAGGTTAATATTTTTGTCTCTGTACAAATTGTTTAGGAACTGCAAGGCAAGCTGCCTTGTGAATATCCAAAAAGCCAGAACAAAGACCAAATTCAAATGCAGATGCAGTTGCAGTTGCAAAAGGCATCTGATGCATTTGGCAGCTCTTTAGCCTGTTGCGTTTTGAGTACAATATTTTTGTCCGTCCTAGGGTCTCTCCATCATGTCTCGCACTGTACGTGCGTTGAAGCAGCGTCTGATGTCCAACAACATGTGTAAGGTGCACCGTTTCGCCTTCGTCAGCCCCTTCGACACCCAGATATTTACACAAGGGAAAAAATTGAATAAAGAAATTAATTAAAAAACTTTTGATACCTTAAGAATTAGAATTAAATGAGTAAAATAAAAATAATACGCTGTATTGATTTAAGTACTACAAAATTAATTCATGTAGAATATAGTTTATATCTTAGAAACCTCAATCAACTTTACATTTTTTTCTTGGTGTAAATGTCTAGTTGCCGAAAAGTTCCCTTGGCCAACTGCGCCTTTTGACGACGCTCGTGTGTCGCTGTCTCTGTTTCTGATTCTGATTTCGCAATCGTTTCAAAATGCTCTATTTATTGCCACGATTGTACAGATTTCTTCAGATATTTGGACACAGAAGTGGAGCCTTGCCCTTTAAGGTTATTTTGGCTTATAAATAAATAAAATGTGATGATTATGAGGTGAATTAAGACGTCTGATTTAAATCTTCTGAAGCTATTTTATAAATGAAATACTCATGAGTAAATATAAATACTTAAGCTTATTTTAAAATCCAAAAGATAGTACTATTAATTGACCAGAAATCGATATAAAGAAAGAGTATTCACACGGGTCACACAACGCCCAATAAATATTTGTCATCTTTGCCAATCTTTTTGCACGGCTTTTTCTGGCATTTGTGGCGCATGTTTTGCCAAGCGTTACCGAAACGGGTGGGACGTAAGACAAACATGAATTAAATTAAAAATAAAACTATAGAAAATTGTAATTAAATAACTAAAAACAAAAATAAGCATTGCCCGCTGACAGACAAACACTATTGTGTACCAAAATAAAACCGCATGAGACAGCACAGAGACACTGACAACGGCAGCAACGATGGCATCGACATCGACATCGAAAAACGACATAAGAAAATGCAGGAAAATGGAAAGGAGACGGCATCGATAGAGGGAAATTCGCCAGAAATGCAAAAACCAGCGAGTGCATAGAATAATTGAAATTTTCAATGCTGCAACTTGAAACAGCGAAGCAAAACGAATCGATGAAAAAATATTGTATCTCAAAAAAGATGCACAGAGAAAAATTGTAAAAGATATAGCTAATATCTATTTTATTCTGTGAATACTCGGGGCAAAGTTTCTTTTTAATGATTATTGTGATATTTGTATTGAAAGGCTGTCATAATAATTTGTCTATTAAGAAGAGAGTTCCTTAAATAAATTTAATAGGAAAACAATAAGTTATGGCTTTTTTTTTCCTGACAAATAAATGATTTTTAAAGATACAAATTTAACTCTTAATAAAATCCTTTTACATGCATATATTAATATAAAAACTAATCGTAATTTTCAAGTGTATTTGGTTTTATTTTTAGCTCTATACTTAAAATTGTAAGCTTTGGGGAATTTAAAATTATGATATTACATTTTAAATTCAACAAAGTTTATTACAATGCTTTAGCTAATAAATATTACTAATATTTAATGGTATATTTGAAAACCCATATGCTAACCCAAAAATTTCATAAATATTTATTAATTTTACTATGGAAACTAAAGCCGAAAACTAGCTCAACTCATTTGTTTCCTCTGTACGACTTTCGCCTAAGGATTAACTAGAAACCCCCTAGTAAAAAAAATCTTGAAAAATTATTCAATGCCATATCTTTTGCCCGCTAATTTCGCCGACAAGCTAATCCCCTGTGACCGTTCAGAGCCGGCCAGCAAGTCTGTCGGTGGGTCAGTCAATCAGCCAGTCAATCAGTCAGTCAGTCAGTCATCACATCGCTCAGCCAACAAACTCAGACTAACCGCCATTTTCGTCCACCGTCCACCGCCCTAGTCCTCCATTTTTCGAGAAGTTTTCCCAACCACAGCGTGTTTTCCATACTTTTCTTTGCATCGTGCGTGTGTGTGTGTGTCGCCTTTTCGTATTGAGCATGTGTTTGATTTCTTGATTTCACTATGTTTTATGCGCACATTTTTATGCATAAATTTTTGTATTTGTTTTGATTTTTTTATTTTTCGTTTTGATTTTCTACATTTTTTTATTCCACAAAAGTAAAAGCGAAACCATAGAAAAATACGAATGAGAAAAGCAGCTACGAATTCGAATATGTTCAATCATACCAAAAACTTTTTTCAGATTTTTGATTTTGTATCCCCATCATCACCACCACCACTACCACCACAACTACTACAACAACAACAATAAGTACAAGCACCAACAACAACAACATCATCAACAACAACAAGAACATCGTCGACGGCGTCAATTGCGACGATGGCTGCCATAAATACGGTAAGTACGCGACATCGACATAAAAAAAAAACCAAACCAAAAGCAACAAAATCTACAATAAAAAATAAAAACAACAAAAAAAGTAAATTAACGCCAGCAGAAATAACAATTACGGGGCGGGAAAGAAAAGCAAACATCGAGTGTACGCAATCAATCATAAGGAAGAATAATTTATGGCCCATGACGATATATATATTTAAATATTTATAAGTAAAGCAATTTGCATATCTGACATATCCAAACAATCTTTTATATCCGCATCCCTCGATTATTTTTATAATGTTGCAAGAGAAACCGTTTTTAGGAAAGAGAAATGCCTAATAGTTGTGGTGGGACGATTTTTTTAAAGGATTTTATTATTAAAACGGAAAATAATAATTCATTACTACCAAGGACATTTTTTGTTCTTTTATATTGTTGGAATAGTTAATATTTTAATGGTTTTAAATCGTTCAATTTTCCTGTCTACATTAATATTATTTTTTTAATAACAAAAATAGTTACGAGATATAAAATAAGGCCTTCAAATACATAGTTTACCACAAAAGATGTGTCAAAAGTAAGCCATAACAATAAAGTTCCGCGAACTGTTAAATTAAACTATTTCTGGCTGTGACACTTTCCCCATTTTTTTCCAACGATAATTGCCACACTTGCTACGCAGACAATAATGTCGATGTCGTAAAACGTTTTAAACCAAATTTGTTTTAAATAAATATATCTTGAGCTTGTGATATTACGCATACGGCGTGTTGTACGCCAGCTGATACCCGTGCGAAGGCCTTTGAAGGCTGGCCAATCATAAACAAAATTAAAAATTGAGGAACACACAGGCAGGCAGAATGATGAATCTGCCGCTAAAGATGATGACGAGCCCTTGTGTTCCAAACATGTGTTTCGACTCATTTTACTAATAAGCAAGAATGGGAAATAGAAAAGCCCGATGACAAATTGCCGCCCAGCGCATATTCAATTTTACGCTGACATCATCTCGATGTCGGGATTTTTCATTAACATATATCGGAGCCTTGCCTTGGCTGTGCCAAATTCAAATTGCCGGAGTCTGGCTGCTGCAGTGGAAATATGATTTTGGCAGCACCCAACTTTTCCTGCAGCCCTCCACCTCCTCCCCCTTATGGCTCCACGCTCGCTGCTCGCTCACTCATTCATTCATTCTTTCTCGCCAGCCTTTGGCTTGTTTTTTGTTAGAGTGACATTGACATTTGATTGACACGTGAATCACGCCGTAAAAACACAACCACACGACCCTACACCCCTACACCCCAGAGGGAGTTCAGGTAGCCCTGAAGTAGGGACCGTGTCGTAACAGGATACGAGTACGTCTCGTCCCCGCAGTTTTGTTCACACTTTTCCTTCAAGAGATATGACAGCTCCACCTCCTCATTCTTGCCGGCAAACGGCGGGGCTCATAAATCTTTGGGGTTGCGCAAGAGAGCAACAACATATAATTACTTGATACCTGAATTGATTTAGCGTGAACATAATTTATGAAACCATTTGATTATGCGATAGCTGGGCCGTCCTTCAGTTTCGATAAGGAAACGATTGCAACAGACTTAAGTACTGTTTGCTTGAGGGTGTAAAGTTGAAATACGTTATGACACCTGGATTTATTTGATTGTATCTCAAGACAAGGTTAAACTTTGTTTTCAGAAAGGTAGGAAAGGCTCTGGAAAGTTGGAAAATTAAAGGACTTTAAACAAGTTGACTTTGGCTCAAGTTTGTAAAGATAACAAGGGAATGTTGCGAAGTTTGTTTTGCTTTAGTTCAATGGCTTCAGATGAATTATAAATTATAGATAGTTTGTGTTTCAAAGCCTGTGATTTTTTTGTCAGAAAATAAATAAAGAATGCATTTAATTAACAGAAGTTGTTATCAGGTGAACAGTAACTATTTTATAGTACACTATACAGTATAGTAATAAGCCTAAAAGAGTTTAAATGATATCGGTTTCTAGACACCTTTATACCATTCAATAAAATAAGTTACGAAATATCTGAGACATTTAACCCCAAATATATCTAAACAAACAATTAAATCGAATTCAAATGATACAGTTTTTGTGTGTTTAAAATTCAGATAATCCTCTTCAAACATTAAATTACTTTATTCCTGGAATTGATTTGATGTGAATATAATTTATGTTTGAAAATATAGCCCAACAAGACCTAAGAAAACGATTCAAATGAATTTTAAGAGCTCAAATTTTGTTCGCTTTAAAATGAAAGAAATCTTGGCCAATCCCCGAAACTCGACTGATTACTTAAAGCTTTTCAAAGCAGCGACAAGGTTATCACAACAATTGATAAACATAAATCTAATTTACTCCTCCTGCCCATATATATCTCATAGCCCACTGGCACATTTAAATAAACAAATTGTGTGTTTTTGGAGGGAACATTAGCGCGGGGGCGGACAGAGATGAGTCGGTGGTCTGGGGGCCACTTGTGGCTCCATTTCCAGTTCAGTTCATTCAGGGAACTTTTCATTTCAGCTAGCCGTGTTTTTATTTCGTGTTTTTTGCTCACAACTTAAACAATAATAAAGGCATTGTTTATTTACTTTCCGTGAAATTTTATGCCCGTTTCAGTGTCTTCACCGACTGAATCTGAATGTGAATCAGTATATCCAGTTTGTGTTATTGTTTTGCTTTCATTGTGGTCGCAGGCACTTTTGGAAATTTATGCACGGCCATTTTATTTATTTTTATTCACGTTTTGTTTTTGTGGTTATGGGCAATTGCAGGCCACATTAATTGGGCATTGGTTGCGGTTTATAAAGCATTAATTGCCCCCATCTAACAACGGGTGTGCCCCTGCTGCCCCGCTGACCTCATTTCTATCGTATCTCTCGCAAGAGAGTCCAATTTATGACTGCACTTTTATTGCATTTAAATTAATACATGTCGAGGGGCATGGGTGTATGAGTTTGCCTAAAAATACACAATTGTTATGCGAGTGCCAAATGCGAAATGTGAATCGTTGTGTCTGGGGGGGCCACACGGCGTATACTCAACGGGCTTCCGTATTTACTGAGGCGTACTCGAAGTGAGTGCATTTAATTTCAATTAATTATGCGGCGCGTCGTCCATTAGGCGACAGTTGCTGTGAATTATCAATAATCTCGACTAATCTCGCCTGACAGCCATTGCTGTCGCGCCTTTTGGCAGCCATTTCGACTGTCCTCTGTCTCCCTCTACCACACAGACACAACACACACACATGTAGAGCGGTATATAGGGATTATGAAGTATCATCTATTGTGTATCTCGCAGGTACCCAAGAGCATACACCTGCCATTGACCACTCTCAGCAGCGCCCCGCGCGTGTTGATGTGCAGCGCCTCCGTGGGCACCGAGGGATCCGTGACTCTGCAACTAAGGGATGCCAACGCCTTGGAGGCAGCCTCATCGAAGCCAGCGGGAACTGCATCAAGCGGAGGAGCAACAACCTCCACGAATGGCGCTGCAACTGCGTCAGCGGCAACGCTAGAGAATGCTCTAACCATAGGCTATCCGGATCCGGAAATGTTGGCAGATGTCTTGGGCACCATACAGACAGCCTGTAAGTTAAACATAAAAGATTTATGCAATGATTTATGATGTACACAATTACTCATCTTGACATCCCTGCAGCTCTTAAAAACCACAACAGCAACTCAATCACAGCAGCAACTTCAAGCAATAGCTCAGGCAAATCGGCCGTTGGCAATCATTTGAGTAATCCCAATAAGATAACCATAACCAGGCGCAGTGTGCAATCGGTCAGCGCATCCACTAGCACCAGTAGCAGCAGCAGCAGCAGTAGCAGCAGCAGCAGTACAAGCAGCAACGGTACCAAGACAAACACCAGCTACATTAAGAACTGCTTGATCCGCAGCAGCAGCTGCAGCAACACGGTCACCAATGTCACCACGCTGGCCCAGATTATGAGCAACAGCAGCACCAGCAGTGCGGCCAGTTTACTCAATCAGCACAACAACAACAGCAATTGCAGCAATAGCAGCAACTTCAGCACAGCCTCCTCTGTGGGCAGCAGCATCAGCATTGGCAGCAGCGGCAGCAGCAATAGCAACTCCAACGACAGCAACAGCAGCTCCGGCGGTGGACACAGTCTCAGCTTCAAGAGCAACGGACACGGCAGACATGTGCCCGCTGCTTCCGGTGGAGTAAGCACAGCGGCAGCAGCCACCAACACCAGCTCGTCAGGGATTGGGATTGGCATTGGCGGGATCATCAGCGTTGAAGCGCCGCGCAAGAATCGCCCCAAATTATCCTCACCGACGCGACACGGTCCGCAGCAGTGTCAGGTGCGTAAAAACTCTATTGTGCTTATTAGAAATGGGTATTATAGGTGCTTAATCAGGTTTATTTATGCCAAAAACTGTAATGACAGTCTGCAGATTGCATCCCATATGTTTGAGACACTTTCGAAAGTATCTAAATGGTGGAAATTGGCAGAACTGGCATGCAATCCGCATTCATGTATCCGCGGTCTAATCGCTAATTTATTGTCGGTCATTCCTGAGCCCTGCCAACATGTCGGGGCAGTCGGACAGTTGGACAGGCGGTCGGCCGAGTGCCGTGCAATATTTATAAACAGACATTAAGGTCGTCTCGGCCAAGTGGCAGGTGAAACGCGCAGAGCTCTCGAAAAGTGCCACTCCTGCAGCCTCTCGGACTCTCTCCGGCCGTAAAAGTGCGCCGCATTGGCACTTGGAACTAACATGATGATGGCCCAATAGTCCGGCTGTGTTTATACACGGCGCTAATTGAGCGGAGAGCCCGTCTAGTTGGTAATATATGTATGTACTAGAAGCTGGTTTGGCCAGAGAATTTGCTAGAATTGATAACTGGGGGGAATTGGGGGGCAGAAGACCATCAAAGGCTAGAAATCATTTTACCCAAAAGTCTTTGAAATATAGTAATTCCCCATGCACTGGGGGAAAACTTGTGGAATAAAAGAGAGCTTGGTAATTGTAGAAGTTTTTTTTTATACTTTATTGTTGCTAAATATATTACTTGTTTTAAACATTATAATAATTTGGAAATGTAATTGATGAGTGAAATTTCGTTAAAAAAAACAGTTGCCGTTGTAACAGTAGCTGACATTTTCCAAAAAACATTAAGAGTTCTAATAGAGTAATGATATTATTTATGAGCAGTAAATAAAGCCTTTAAATTTTGTTAAATTTAATTAAGACATTAATTTAATGTTACAAATTCTACAAAAAATAAATAAATATTAATATTTTGTTGTATTTATAAATATTTTATTTCAATTTATTAATATTTTGTAGTATTTTGACCATAAGATTAATGTTTAAATTAAATGCAACTAACAACTTAACAAAAACTTCCTCCCAGACTCATGTATTTTAATATCTGTGACTTGCTACACTCAACTTGGGTTCTTTAAAGTCTTTAATTAATTTTAAAAATTTTGTTTTCGCTGTGTGGAAAATTTCCACACCAGAAAAAAGCCCACCCACTGACGACGGACTGACTTTTTGAACGACTCTCGCCCCGGGGGCATTCAACACGTTTCGACGTCTGTCAATAAAACTGACAGACGCTCAAAGTGCCGGGGCTCAAAGTCTGCCACTTCTACATCTCCTCCTCCTTCATTTTTTTGCAATACTACGGCAGTAAAGTACTTTTTATGACGCGTTTTACGATACTGCGGATGCCAGGAGGAGGTCAGCTGAGGCAGGGATGCCCCATTTTACCGCTTGCTGCAGGAATTCAAATTGAAGCACACATTGCACATAGTATTAGGGTGCAATGTGGCCTAGCTTTTGCCTGGTTTTGGGTTGGAATTCGACATTCGGGCGTTCGGAATTCGGTGGTCGTAATTAGCCTGCGGTGTGTGGCGGCCGAAAAACCAACATAACGTATACGCAATGTGGCTCATTAAAATGTTCGGGCCGCAGCGCTTTCAATTATCTAGAGGGCAGCCGACAGCCGCTAATTACACCATCCCCTCCACCTGATCTCTCTCTTTCTCTTTTTATAGACTTGTTGCAAGATCTTTGGAAATGCCTCGGCGCTGGCCAAGCACAAACTGACGCACAGCGACGAGCGGAAATACATCTGTGCGCTCTGCTCGAAGGCATTCAAGCGGCAAGATCACTTGTGAGTAAATGGCGCAGAGCCACCGATCTATTGATCCACTGATCCACTAAACCACACTGATTTCCATCCTCGTTTCCCCCTCCAGAAACGGACACATGATGACTCATCGGAACAAGAAGCCTTACGAGTGTAAGGCGGATGGCTGCGGCAAATCTTACTGCGATGCCCGCTCCCTGCGACGGCATTCGGAGAACCATCATGCCGGCGGAGCCACCACGCCCACCACCACCAGCCAGCAGTCGCTCTCGCCCACCGCCAGCTCGAGCGGAGCGAGCAGCAGCAGCAGCAGCGGCGTGGGCGTGGCCACCAGCTCGCTAAGTCTGTCGCCGGCCACGGCCAGCGGGGATGCCAGCTCCCCGGACGGAGCCACCTGCATTCGCACCTACATCTCCACGGGCAGCTCGGTGGTGGATGCGGCCACTGGAATTGCCTTGTCGGATGAGCAGATCAAGGCCATGAACCTGCCGATCAAGACGGGCGTGACTCTGCTATCGCCAACCACATCGACATCGTCAAATGCCTCCTCCACGGCCTCGTCTTCATCCTCCGCCTCCGCCTCTGCCTCTGTCTCGTCGCTCTCCTCGGCGACATCTGGTTTGGGTTTGACGGCAGGATCATCGCCTTCTGCCGGCGGCGGCACCGTGATAGCCACCAGCTCGCCAGGGCCAACCATCACGCTCAGCGATGGGATGAGTCTCGAGGGCGAGGGCCTGACCCGAGAGCAGCTGGACCTCATCAGCAAGATCATGCAGCAGACGAAGCAGACAAGCGCCCAGGTCACCGTCTCCTCGCCCACCAGCGTCAGCTCCTACAAGATCAACACGAACTCGGCGCCGTCGCAAGCTAGACCGAGGACCTGGAATATGCAATTGGTAAGAAAAGGATAATTTATATTTAATTTATATTTTTATACATTTTTAAATTATTCCTGCAGCTCAACAATGCCCAGAATGTGACGGTCACCGTTGAGGACAGCACTGATCTGGTGGCTCCTTCCTCTAGCTCCCCCGTGGAGGTCAAGGAGGAAGAGCTGAGTCCCCAGCTAGTGGCCGCCATCAATCCCCACCTGCTCAACATTGTGAAGCTCGACAAGCCCGTCGAGTGCAATCTGTGTCACCGAAAGTTCAAAAACATACCCGCCCTCAATGGGCATATGCGTCTCCATGGTGGTTACTACAAGAAGGATCCGGAAACCAAGCGCAGCGAGAAGAAGGACTCCAGTGGCCCACCCCTGCAGACGGCCAGCATTGGAGTAAGAGCCCTCATTGAGGAAAAGATTATCAGCAAGCGCAAGGACATGACAAAGGTAAGGGTTACCGGATTCTTGATCCCCAAAGATCCCTTCCGAAATCAGGATTCTTACTCCGCATAATCCTCTTTCCCCAGGGCTCCTTTGTGGTTCCCGCACCGCCTCATAGCAGCGGCACCACCACCACCCTGCGTCGATCCATCAGCGACCTGGAGAGTTTCCTTAATCCTAAGAGCAGCTCCAGTGGACACACCCAGACCCTGACCACCAGCACAGGCACCACCACAGCCGTGCTTCCGGCAGCCACCACCATTAAGAGCAGCAATGGCCTGAGCATCCAACAGATTGGCCTGCCGCAGAGCATTGAGATCTTCAGCGGTGGGCAAAAGCAGGCAAAGACTCTAAATCTGGGCAGTGGCACCAATACCATCACTATAACCACCAATAATGTGCCCACCACAACCACAATGAGTGCGTTGACTGCCTTAAAGGCAGGCGGCACCATTAGCGGCATTTCCACGGCCACCAACACGGATCCCAAGGACTCCACGCTGATAGAGCTCCTCAAGCGGGGTACACGCATTGCGGTGACTTCAAAGAAGGCTCAGACCCAGTGTCAAACGACATCCGGTGTCCTGATGACGTCCAGTGCCACGGCTACTCAATCAATGGGCACCCTCACCGAGCTGACCACCATTGGCGGAAGCAGTGTCCAGACGGTGGGTCGCCAGATCATCACGAACAACAATCGTACCGTGATCATACCCTCTGACGTCCAGGTGGTGTCCACCAAGAGCAAGCTGAGCAGCCTGAGCACTCTGGTGAAGAGCACCAGCAGCACCTCCAGTTCCACTAATACCAGCTGCTCCTCGAGCAATATCTCGCTCGCTGATGGAACCCCGCTTTCGCTAACCATAGCGCCCAGTCAGGATGTTTCAGGATCCACTAGTGGAGTTCCGAGTGGGACAGGCGGTGTTATTACTAGCGGTGGCGGTGGTGTCTACACGGTGACATACACCAGCGATGGCACCGATCTCTTCGACGACGCCGAAGTATACAACGTATCCGACACGGAGATGCTGCTGCAAACGGTGGACTCGATGGAGCTGCTGAACGACGACGAGGACGAGACGCAGATTAAAAGCGAACATTCCGAGGACTTTGCCCTGCTGAGCGAGGGCGGGGACAGTGAGCATACCCAGCTGGTGAAGCTGGAGACGGAGAGCGGACAGGCTGGCTGCAATTCCTCCGGAGGACCAGGGGCGGGAGCCAATACCACGCCGTTGCCCACCTTTCAGCAATTCCATTCCAAGGAGCTGATCATGCAGAACAGTTCGCAGATCCAGGCCATAGCCAGCATGCGGGGAACCGGAAATGGTGTTGGTCCTGGTAATGGCAGTGGTGTTCTGGCCTCGCCACTCCACTCGCCACTGGCCTATCCCACGCCGCCTTCGAGCCACGAGAACATGGCCCAGAGCTCGCCGTTTATTGAGGATGCAGCCGCTCAGTTCGTGGATGCAAGCAACACCTTCTTCGGCGACAAGACGGACTTCTCGCACATCTACTTCAAGACGGACGAGGGTCAGGCCACCATCGAGCAGATGAACGAGCATGACAACGAGAAGATCCTCAAGCTGAAGTCGGTGCTGGAGGAGAGCAGCTTCGATCCCTCCATCAAGGTGGAGGACCTGCTCAATGGCACCGACGACGACACCGAGTGCGATCTGCGTGAGTTTGCCGAGACGAATCTCTCGTTCTTGGACGAGGACCAGGAGTTCCTCAATGACTCCCGCAATGCCACTTCCCCGCTCTCGGAGAGCTTCTTCACCAGCGGCATTGGCTCGGCGGAGGATGTGAAGCAGGTCCTGCGCGAAGTCCTGCCAGATGAGAATATGCAGCTGCAGCTGACCAGCGAGCAGCAGGGCGAGAACATCATCGATCTCTACTACCTGCCGGGGCTGGGACTGCAGTCCCAAATGATGCCCAACTCGGAAGACCCCTTGTTGTCCTCATCGCCCAGAGAGTTTGGTCAGCAGCGGCAGCAAATGAGCAGCATACAGCCCCTGGAGCAGCAGGTCCAACAGAATGGCAACCTGTATCAGCAGCAACAGCAGCAGCAGGAGCAGCAACAGCAGCAGCTCCAGGAGCCACCCCAGCAGGAGCAATCACAGCAGCAGCAGCAGCAATACCAGCAGATTCTTCTCCCCCAGCAAACGCCAAATCAGGGTGAATCCCTGCCAGCGGTGGTGCAGCAGCAGACCGACTTCATGCTGCCCCTGGTGGGAGGACATGGCTTTGCCCAGGTGTCCTCCGGCCAAACGCAATACGTGGACAATGGTCAAAGCAACATGCAGGGACTGCAGCCCCTCAACAGCCTGCTGCAGCCGCTGCTCTACCAAGGAACCGTCACCTCCAATGGCATGGTCGCCGGCGGACAAGAGAGCCTGCTGCCCAACGATTGTCAAATGAATACCAATCAAAGCCAGACAACGACGACTCTGGATGCTGGTTTGCTGTTCGCCTGCGGCAACACCACAACCACCACCACCAACAGTACGGCCACGACAATGGGTAATAAATCCCTGCTAGCCTCAGGGCCCTTGCCTGCCACTGTGACCAATCTGCAGCCGCTGTCGAATCAAACCAATTCCATTCTGAAGCGCCGCCTGCGCTCCAGTGCGCCCCAGGAGACGCACAAGTTCTCCAAATTCCACACGCTCTCGCCGCACCGCTCCAAGCTGCGCAAGCCCTCCCGTACCCACTATACGCCGGCTCCGATCCTGAATCCGGATCGCAAGGGAACCGGTCTCTACTGCAGCGTCCGCAAGCAGCTGGGCCTGGGCCAAGGTCTCTTCGATGCCTTCGACGATGACTTTGGGGATCCGGTGGGCCTTGTTGACTTCTCCGACGAGTCTAAGGTTAATCTGGGCTCCACTTACCAGGCGCAGATACCCAGTTGCCGGCCGCCGGAGGAGGCTGTGCGAGATCCACTCGGCGCCGAGTTGATGTGGAATCCGGAAGTGCAGGAGGACGAAAAGATACTGATGCGCTACATTGATCTCAGCAAGTCATCGGCCGTGCCCATGGGCAGTCATTCCGAGGAGGTGGCGCTCCAAACGCTGCTCAAGGCCAGGGGCAACTCGGCGGCAGCGGTGCTCACCCTGCTGCAGACGCAATCCGGTGCCTTTCAGATGAAGTGGACGGCCTACGAGCTGGAGCAGTTCCTGCGGGGGTTGGAGAAGCATGGCAAAGACTTTGGCAAGATTGCCAGTGAGGTAAGTATTAACGAAAGGTATTCTGAGACCTAGCTTACATTATGGTTCTCACAGCTCCTCACCAAGTCCTCTGGCGAGTGTGTGCAGATGTACTATTTCTGGAAGAAGCTGTGCGTGGACTACAAGGTGTCGCACTTGAAGATGGAGCCGGTGGTGGTGATCACGCCCGCTGTGGAGAAGCCCTATGTCTGCGAGATTGCCGATTGCTCAGCGGTAAGTTGAAGTAGTGATCCTAAGAAGGGAAAGCATGTCCTTGTCCCAGACCCGAGCACGAAGTTGCAGCTCTCCGAAACCCCTGTTAACCCAAGCTAAAGTCATCACACAACGACCCACCTCACCTCACCGGCTCTCTCTCTTTCTCTGTTTACTCTATTCTCTGTATATAATGCTCCAAAAAAACCAAAATCATACCAAAATCCCTGCCTGCGCGAATGTAGAGCTTCAGTTCGAAGGCGGCGCTGCACGGTCATGTACGCATTCACGCTTATGGTCGCAGCAACAGTAGCAACACCAGCAATAGCAACAACAATGGCAACAGCACTAGCAACAATAACCAGCAGGGCACGGCCACTAGTGTCAATAGTAGTAGCAGCAACACCAACAACATCAATGGGAGCGGCAGCAGCAACATTAATGGCAGCAGCAACTATGCCTGCAACATTAGCAACAACAATCCCGCCAGCAATGCAGCACCTCCCACAGGAGCAGCAGGAGCCACACACAGCAGCAATTGCAATCAGAATCCTGGCGCCACAACTGGAGCTGCTGCCACCTCAACAGCAATCTCGGCCTCAACCAAGCCGGAACAGGGAATTAACGCCATACCAGGTGCCGCCAAGGAGGGCGAGTTTCCCTGCAAGGTGTGCGGCAAGTAAGATTCCCCCCCAAAAGCCAAAACCAAATCAAAAACCATAAAGATATAAGCAGAAAAAAAACACCTGTGACCATCCTTTTCAAAAAAATTCGAAAGTCCGCAAGCGATTTGAGTGCCCGTATATTGACTTGAGTTGAGATCGTAAAGCACGCTGTACCGTAAAATAACTCCGTATACGAGTACTTGGTTAATAGATTTTGAGTTTATAAAACTTTCTTTATAATTTCTGAGACTCCTTGATTTCCTTTTGAGTTTTACAAGTAAATGCTTCCACTCTCTTTCTATATTCTCTCTATAAATCTATATACTTTGGCCTTGAGTTTGTAGATATTATCTTGAGTTTGTATGTCAGTTACCGATTTCCCTATGCCATTTAGTTAGAGTTTTCGTCAAGCGATATTAACTGTTGTTATTGTTGTTGTATTGTATTGTTCCACGATGCGAAAAAAAAAAATATTGAAACAAAAATACAAAACCAAAACATAAACAAACAAAACTGAAACTGAACCTCAACCTTAACCTCAACCTAAACCCAAATCGAATTACGAATACAATCAATAAATCGAAATTGCAATTTTAAAGCGAAGAGTCACAACTCGCAAATAGACGTAACCGTAACTGATATCAGCTCCACAAGCCCACACAAATCGGCAGAAGCCGCTGGCCCCATGATCGGTAAGTAGGATCGCAGTGTCCCTTTGCGTTCGTCACCTCCGTTTCCGTTTCCGTTTCGTTTCATTTCGATATCCTCTTCCGTTCTCACACACAGTCACATTCACTTGGTCTCTGTTCTCCTCTGTCATTTTGTTACCTCTCGATAAACCTAATCACAGCGCTCGCTAAGTGCCTCTAACTTTTGTACATAATAATATATTTATATATATATCTATATATTTCAATTAACACGGGCTCTGGGCAGGGGCATTCGAAATTTGATAGATCACAAACCCGATCCTGGAAGCCGAGGAATTAACCCCCACCCGATATCGGCTGTAAATATCCCTCAAGGCACACAAGACTCTCAATCTTAACTCTTTTTATTTTCCTACTTGCTCACTTGTTTATTTTATTTGTATTTATTCGTTTTATTCCTAAACATAAACTCTCTATTTTCCATAGTTATTTATAAACAACAAAGCAAATTTTAACTCCACACAAGGCTAAGTAAGAAGTAAACCCAACAAACAACCAAAATTGAAAGAAAGCTTAAAGTCTATTTCGTATCTCTGCATGAAACTCTTCCAAGCTAAACCTAAACCTAAGCTTCTATCTGTATCTAAGCATGTTATATATATTAATCGCTGCCTACTCTATGTGCTTCATTGTCTCTCTAAGTGTCCAATTAATCCGCCTAGTCTGCATTCTAGCTGTAGTAGTGCTCGACCTGGAGACCTCTGAGCTAAGTTTTCTCATAAAGTGCCGTCTTCTTCTCTTTTCTCTTTCTCCCAACCAGGGTCTTCAATAAGGTGAAAAGTCGCAGTGCGCATATGAAGACCCATCGTGTCCAGGAGCCGGATCAGAAGCATCAGCAACTCAACAATGGGGCAGCAGGAGCAGCAGGATCAGGACTAGCCAATGTGGCAACCGCATCCAGCATCACCACTTCGTCGTAGGCGAAACACGAAAGAAAAACAAACAAAAATCGATTGACAATCGCATTAAGCAAGCAGCAAGCATTGTTTACCACTGTTAGAATTTATGCTTAGACGAATTTGAGTCTAAAAATCAATGTCACGTGTACGTAGTAGTTAAAGGCATTTCTTCACTAGCTCTATCTCTATCTCTAACTATCTGTATCCCCGATTCCGATTCCGAATCTCTATCTAGCGATCACCTTCTCTCTAAACTATCACCTAAGTAGCAACACTTTGACTCGCTTTAGGGTATAAGTCTAGCCAAGGATTGGTACAAGTTCAAATTGAATTGTTATTGACTATATACATATATGGTAGGCAAGTGCAATATATATGTTGAAGTAATACATACGGATACGATTACGAATATGTAAATGTAAATGTATACATACCTACCGTTTTTTTATATCGTAGGCCTTTATTCAGCTCGACTTGACTGTAGGTGTAACTCTATAACTATACTACCAGCAAGCCGGAGGCTAAAGCCGAGGCTAATCCCGATCTATGATAGACATTAGTGCATAATCTACTGTTAACTACAAGTTTTTTCTACTCAAAATACTCGTACATAGTTGCAACACACTACACTGATACTTTACTAGGGCGATAAATGTGTAGCGAGTAAGAGAATCTCTATATATATATATACTGGACTAGGTGTACGACGTATGCGATATATGATTGTTGTTCTAGTTTTAATGACACAACTCCGAGTAGTTGAAGTTTTACTTAGATCGTACTTACCTACCTACGAACCTTAACTATTGTACTATGGTTTAGAGACCGAAACCCAAAGAGGAACCCTAAACGAAACCGCAAAACCCATGAAAATCTAGTGAAATCAAGTGATATTGAGTGAGATCAAAAACGATTTTAGCTAAAACGTGAACAAAATTCAACTCTAACACACATACACACAAATGTACTATATAATTAAACGACGTGGATGTGGATGTTGAGAAGAGTTTTAACTTTTAAACGCAAAGTGTAGGCCATAAGACACTGTAAATAAGAGTCTAGAAAACTAAACGATAAGGAAGGATATCTTTCAAATTTCTCCAAAACGCATAAAAGACATTAATCTATTGATATTTCTAGATACCCCTTGAAAAACCCACTCCCCCCCAAAAAAAAACACTGAGACACAGACAGACGGACAACGAGGGTTCAAAGTTCAGCTTTCAACTCTCAGAGCAGACACACACACAGAGACACAGTGCAGTTTTATATAGGCATAGGATATAGAATTATATACAAGCATATATTAAATTAAATGGTACAACAGTAAATCTGCCAGTAATTTGAACAACAACAAGAATCACACGTTTTCCATTTGGACAGTGAGCTAATGTACTACAACAAATTGATCAATTGATTCAACGTTTTGGGGGCAATGCAATGACCGACCGACCCGGGTGGTATGTTATTAACTATGGCGTAAATTAATCTAGTTTAATGTAAACCAAAGCATGCAAGGCTAAAAACCAAAACCAAATTAAATATTCATGTTTAGTCTCTCGAACTTTCCCAACCCCAAAAAGAAGAGGGGCCCAGGCAGAGTCCTCGTAGAAGCAGAAAGCTTCTGAAGTACTCTGCTTGGGCATCTCTGGCTTAAAAACAGACAGAAAAAGAATATGGAAGATGGTAACTATTAGCAATTCTTAAGGTTGTATTCGCTAGCGTGACTTTTTCTTATCGTACAACTCAGAACACTAAGGATCAGGTGCTGTAAATAGCCAAATCAGAGATTTACACCGAAAGCCAGCACAAAGAAGTATCGAAAACCATCTATTTATTTCCCTTCACCTTGTTTTCGCCCTCACCTCCAGGATAGCATATATAGTAGCCATAACAATAGTCATAGGTTTAGTTGACGGACGACAGGATTCTGCATATTTTTCGGTGTTATATACAATAAGAGTAAGCAGATATACATACAACATAGAAACGAGTACAGCTACAACCCACCACGAAAAGCATCTTCGAAAGCTACTACTACTTACTACTGTTTGTTGTGGGCCCCTCGAAGCCGTTCAAAGACTTTCTCGCATACAATAATAATAGTCCGAATCTGCATCCTTGATCATCCTTTGTTGTGTGCATTTTCTCGACTCAGTTTTTAGTTTTTCCACTTCCGTTTGTATTGTACAACTCTTCTGTTCGATTCTGATTCTGTTCTATGCTCAAATGCCTTCAAGCGTAAGTCTTAAGTATTACTAAATAAAGTATCCACAAATGAGTGTTTAACCTTAAGTAAGTGTTCAAATCTAGGGATAATGTAAGCTTAAGTTCAAATGTGTGTGCACTTTGTTGCTTTTCAAGAATGTTTCCTAAAGACAAACAGATCGTAAGAAGTATCTGCGCGAACGTCTAGTCAAATGCGAGTCTAGTCTACATTATTTATGTTTTATTTTGTAAGTTTTATTTTACTTATTTATTTACTGTGCCAAAATGTTTATCGTTTACCAATTAAATGATTTCAACTGTTTCTTTTTCACATCTTGCATTTTTATTTGTTTCTCTCAGAAAACAGTAAAGGACAATCTGTGACATTGAGTGCTACTTCCACTAGGTATTTCCGAGAAACATCTGCAGAACTCAGTGCCAGCGCCAGCGACTCGTCCACACTCACTCGCTCACTCGCTCACCCACTCACCCACTCACTCACTGACTCACTTTATTCGAAAAACTCTGCGTTGTGATTGTTCATTAAGCGAATGTAAAGACAAACTGTATTTATGCAATACTTATACGTATTTAAATATAAAGTATAACCTGTAAAAACTCAAGCTCATCAGTATATACAATTTGCATCTATGGTTCTTCTCGGCATCTGTTTGCAATACATATTTTGTAAATCGTACGGATACACACATACTACCATGAATGTCATACCGAAACCGAATATTTAAAATTAGAAAACGCAACAGGATTACTTCGAAATACAATACAAAATCTTTTGAAATTGAAAACGATTGATAATAGCTATTAGACATATCAATTTTATTTAAAAAAAAGAAAAACAAACATGTGCATGTTGTTGCATGGGCATTCCTGTTTAGCCAGTAAGAGGACATTTTAAGCGATCTAAGTATTTACCGGATCCTCTGCGGGACAGCGGCACCTCCTTCGAATCGAATCGAATCTTTGCTTATATCTCAGAGTATTTAGACTGACGAGTAATAATACAATATACGAAATTATGAGACGCAGCATTCCGTACACTTTCCGTTTCCGTGCCGCCGAGCAGAGGATCCCCCGGTCACGATCTCTGACAAGACAAACTTTACCGCTCAGTATTATCCGAGATGCCCGATTCCGGGATCTGGGGAGTCGGGCGGATCGGCCCTGCTATGATTAAGTACCGTATATACAAAGAGAACTACACAAATCTACGATGTAAGTTTTAACTGTAATATGCGAAAAGAGAGACACTTTTATAAAGAGCAAACTGTTACTTTATGGCATTTAGTTGAGATGCTGTAACCTCTTGTTGAACGTGAATCGTACGTAGCATGTAAATCTATTTAACTCGCAGCACGCAAAGGAGAAAGGATACCATTAACGAAATATATAAATGTATTTATACAGTGCTAATATTAATATTCCGACATGAACGAATATTTTACGGTGCATCTATAAATGTACAGACAGAAGTAAGAGTAACTGTAAACGTAAACGTAAACGTAAATGTTTTCATGGTTGTAAACTGATGATCAAAATAGATTTAAACAATTTTACATGCTTTTATTTAAACGCAGAATATTACTTTGACTTTTTGCTTTACACTTTTTGGTACCTAATAATATTTAATAACAACAAAAGGCACTTACATACTTATACATACATATATATCTCCTTTGTTCCACATCGTTCATTGTTTTTACCAGACTTACAATCTCATAAGCGATGCTATGGAAAAGCGAAAATATTTTCTGAACATCACGCACTTTGATAAGAAACGATCAATGTAAAAGATATTTGAAAAAAAGAAAAACAAAACAAAACTAAAAAAAAAAAATCATGAATATTCCCTCCAAATAATTTTTAAAAAATTATGTATTTGCTAGAAGTCAAAAATCTCTGATAAATGTAACGAAAGGCGGCGAAAGAATGCGAGACGAGGTTCGTGGGGATTTTTAGCATACTGAGAGAAGAGGGGACACTGTCTATAATGGAGGATTAATGTATTTAGCATGATGTTACCAGTTACATTTAACATAATTACAATTACAATGATTATTGTGTATTGCATGTGTATGTGAAATGTATGTAATTACATAAAAACTCTACAAAAAAACACACAAAAAACAAAAAAGAAAAACCAAAAAATAAAAAAATGGAAAGAGAAACTATGGCACACTTTTGCCATTTAATAGTAGTCAATTCTTCGAAAAACGCATTAGCGATTAAGTGTGAGGACAGCTGAGAGACGATATATGATATATATGGACACTATTTTCTAAACGTATTACAACAATAATTTATGAATTTGTTGGTAATTTTATACATATAATATACACGGTTACTTTTGTTAGCTAGCAAAACGACAACGACAACTTAGGTAGCGACGAGGTAGATAAACTTTATGAATGTTGTACCCAAGGCCCAGTCAGGGCCAGCCAAGCCCACGCCCCGGTCACCCGCGAGAGCACACTGTACAGGCACGTACCTCACGGCAGGACCCCCGAGTCCTGGATCCTACCAAGCTAGTTAGGTCCGCGTCCCTCACGTTTTCTCCTCACGAACACTAGACGCACCACACTCTACACTCCACACTTATGTGTAACTACTCCACTGATTACTCACTCCGTTGGATTTGTTGTACTCTGCCATTTTTGGTGTGATATTCTATTGGTTGTGGCGGTCCTTTTTAAGCCGCTTTACACATTGTTGCATTTCTACTAATCGAACGAAACTAAAAAACAAAAAAAACGAATACTGAAAGCCAGATAAAACATTACTCGTATAGCATATTATTCGATTTCCTGTTGTTGTTTCCGTTGTAATGGTTTTTGAATTCGTTTCGACTAACTGTAACTGATTGCCAAAACAAAAACTTTGTTAACTATTTTAGTCCATACATACGTACATACATACTTTTAGGTTTAAGCACATGTAATTTAATCGAACATGATTTGAGCAAACTTAATGAAAATGAAAACTAAACTTACAAAAACACAAAAACGAAAATAAAATGGTGGTCGTAACTAAATGAATGGTGTTTCTATATCGAGCTATGGAAGGTTTGGTTAATATTTTTCAGATTTAACAAGAAATGAAGTTAACTTCGGCAAGACGAACATTGCATACCCTTGCAGTGACTAGCTGCTGAATGAAATTCTAATACCCTCGAAGGGTATAAAAAAATGGATGTATGATAATGAAAGAGCTTGGTGTTATGTTTGTTTCAAGATAATCAATAGAGGTATAAATAATATCCCTAGAAAACCTTCATAATGTTTCGAAGGTACCGGAACTTATGCTTGCTTTTATGTGAGTGTTTACTGTACCTTGTTAGTACATATTAACACTTATTAACCCCTTTGAAAGCTTAGCGGAGTCGCAACCCCAAAAGCTTTTTTTATAAACATTCTCCTCTTTGTCCTCTCTTTTTCTCCATTATTCTCTCTCCCTTTTGCTGTGGTCCTACCTCTCTCACCTTCGCTCATTCGCACACAGTCACAAACTCTGCTGCTGGCTTTGTTGTTGGCGTTTGTCATTGTCCTTTTTGCGTTTGCTTTGGCTTTCGCTTTCGCACTCGTTTATTTAGTTCAGTGTGTTCAGTTGCGTCCTGGCTTCATATCCTGTCGCTATCCTTTAGCGCTTGCCCAAGCGGTTTCACTTTGAGGTTCAGTTTTGAGTGCATTTCAGTGCCTGCAAAAGGAAGCTTACACATAAAAACAAACCCCGTATATACACCCATATATCGTTGAGATATCGGGACAACAGTGAATGGTGAATTAGAGTGAACAAAGTGTATAAGCAAGTGAACTGTGCAGGATATACAGGATATCCTGGATTTAATTGCCGATTCAAGTTAACCGGCCCGGATCCTACCATTTTTCAACTCTCCAACGGGGTTGTGCATCTGCACTCAACGGCTTCAACATTAACTACTCAAAGTACCACCACAACGCTATGTCCTTATCGGCCATAGCAAAGGTAAGTGAATCGCCTGGATGGGCATTGAATCAAATCGAATCGAATCCTGGTACCCAGCGTGTCATTGGCGCCTAGTGTTTGGCTTTCTGGCGAAAATCCATTCCCGCAATATCACTCATACCACGCGGACAGCAATCTCTGACTTCAGTTTTAGTCTGGGAAGCACTCATACCCTTCCTTCCCTTTGCTTCCAAACTTGGATTTTGCGCAAAACAGTGAGCTTTCCTCCCTCGCGTACATATACACTGCGAAAGTTGCCAGAACAGGATTGTCAGGACTCTGAAATTAGGGCTCAAAATGGGAAGCAAGTACCCGGTGATAGGTTCTTAAAAAATGTATAGCCTGCTTTTTGGCATTACAAAAAATATAAATTTATAAATATTTTAATTTAAATTATCGGGAAATCGGTAAGGGTTTCAAAAACCCTTAAAAAAGTTTTTTATTATTTATTTATTTATTACATTCTTAAATTTCCGGCTACCTCGACAACCCTAAACATCATTTTTGACTCAAACTCCGAAATGGCCGACACTCAACGAGCAAAGCAACCCCTAAAAAAAGCACACCCTCTCTCCCAAGCGTTTCGCGAAACTTGTGAGCCAATTTTCTCTTCTTCTCTTGAGCACAGGGTCCCGTGTCCTTGGCGCTGCCTTCGCGCTTCGGACTCAGGACAACGACAACGACAACTTGATTAAGGTTAATGCCCCTAGCCGACCTTGGGGTGGTGTGTGCGACACAGTTCGGGACACTGGCAGCTCGGATCCCGAAACTCGTGACTCGTGACTCGGTTTTAGGAACTCGAGGACACTCGGCTTGGCTGTCGGGAGCTATTCGGATCCAACCATCGGCTTTACTTTCCCATGGGTTCATTGAACTTTTAGGGAACTTATTATGCTTTCCGTGTACACACTGTGTGCGGCTGTTTTTTTGGGTGGGCGGAACCGACGTCGATAGACTCGACTCTGCTGGGTTGATTGGCCAGGCCGGGACAGGCCGGAACCGCCAGCCGCTGGGCTCTGCGTGTGTATATCATTTTAGGGCTCGTCCTCGTCCATTGTTCACCCTCCTCCTCCATCCTCGCCGGTTGCCCCTCGTCGCTCTCTACTGTTGCTGTTGCTCTGCAGCTGTTGTCGGGCGCTATTTTTGGTGCAAGACGAACTTGACGCTGTGCTTTTTGTCAGTCTGCCGCTGGCTCTGTTCCCGTCTGCACACCATGAATCATGTGGGTATAACTGAAACCGAAACAGAAATAAAAATCTCGGAGAAAAATTGATATTATCTGTGAAAATCAAAAGATAAGTGCTACTCTGCTTTATCTCGGAGAAAAACAAAACAAAAGCATGCCAAATGCCCATGATTAAACCAGTTTGACTAGGCATGACTCCGAGTCTAAATACAACTCGTTATCAGCGGCAACCTGTTCTGTGTTAGGCTGTGCCCCTCGAATTAGAATAAATAGATTTCGTAATAGAGCTCTGTGGGCCGGTCCCGTCATTTTCAGTTCATTCGCTGTGCTAAAATGTCTACAAATTCGCTTGTTTCCTCCTCCAATGCCTCCTCCTCCTCCGATACACAGCCAATACTCTACTCGTATTGGCGCAGCTCGTGCTCCTGGCGCGTGCGCATTGCGATGAACCTAAAGGAGATACCCTACGACATCAAGCCGATCAGCCTGATCAAGTCCGGCGGCGAGCAGCACTGCAACGAGTATCGCGAGGTCAATCCCATGGAGCAGGTGCCAGCTTTGCAGATCGGTGAGTTAGTTGAAGAGGCTTAAAGTTTTCCTAACTTTTAAATATATACTCTCTCCAAGATGGACACACCCTTATCGAGTCGGTGGCCATTATGCACTATCTGGAGGAGACCCGTCCCCAGCGACCCCTGCTGCCACAGGATGTCCACAAGCGAGCTAAGGTTCGTGAGATCGTGGAGATCATCTGCTCGGGCATCCAGCCGCTGCAGAACCTCATTGTGCTCATCCATGTCGGCGAGGAGAAGAAGAAGGAGTGGGCCCAGCACTGGATCACACGCGGCTTCCGGGCTGTAGAGAAGGCACTCTCCACCTCCGCCGGAAAGTACTGCGTCGGTGACGAGATCTCCATGGCCGACTGCTGTCTCGTACCTCAGGTTTTCAATGCCCGCAGGTGAGAATGATTAGATATATATATATATATGTATATATAGGTTTTTTTTAAGTTTAAATCTATATTTACCTAAAGAAGTTAGACATTCAGTTTATTAACCAAAAAATCTCATTGAAAATTAAACATTTGTTTAAAAAAATTCCTGAAACTTTACTTAAAGTAACAAAAACTGCACTTCAAAATTGCGTATTACTATAGGTTTAATTAACAATTATTTTTAAAATGTTTAACTTTATGTATTTTGCACCTTTTATCTTGTTATATAAACAAAAAACTCTGGAACTTTTAATAAGAATTTTAAATAAATTATAACAACAGTTTGTAGCGGGTTACTGTAAACATATTCTCTGAGAAACTAGTTTGTAGCTTAAAGTTTCCATAGATTTCATTACAGAGGAATTTATTCCATTTAAGTTACTCCCTTAACCCGTTTTTTACAAACAAATTTAAAGACCACAAACAACATAACCAAAACGTAAAGGTTAACACATTTATTGTAAATTTTCTGAAGAACTAAAAGTGGTTTTATTTCTGATCTGGTTTTAGTTGTGACTAAATTGTATTATTATTTTTTAGATTCCACGTGGACCTGCGCCCCTATCCCATTATACTGCGCATCGACCGTGAACTGGAGAGCAATCCCGCCTTCCGGGCGGCCCACCCATCCAATCAACCGGACTGTCCGCCGGAGCTGCCCAACAAATAGAATTTTCCGACGCCAACTGCAAAGCGCCGTAAGACGAAAAAGTGAATTGCAGTTCGTGACCCCCAGGCACAGGACAAACTAAATACTTAAATCTGATCAGCGAGCAGGTGGGCGGAGTAGGGATTGAACAGAGGACAGATGACGACGGAGGAGGTTCCATAAGCAGAAACAGTCGGATGTGATTTAAGAAATTGCTAACAGCATTTAAATATGCATAAATGCATAAAAATACTATCGATAACTTAACGAAATTCCAACACGAAATTCAAATGCAAAATTCTCAGAGACGGAACGAAAACGGAAACTAAAAATAATAATAAAAAAAAACAAAACTAAAGATTCTTCAAATTCCCTTAGTTTGTCATTGTGAACATGATCTAAAAGATGAACTCATATATATTAAATGTAACTTATTTTTATGCATTTTATTTAGGCTAACAAAAAAACATAACAAATTCATGACGAAAAGCAAAATTCAATTCAGGGATTTAAAAACAAAACAAATTTAGAAGATGTATGTATAAGTACTTCATGTCAAAGTTGGTTTAAATGCTAAACAAATCGTTCACAAAGTACAAAGCGTCAGTCAGCAATTAAGTAAACTATACCAGCATACACAAACTAATCGATTAAAGAGTAACTCATAAGTAATTTACAAGAACACAACTTGGTCACCTATTTAATGGTCTCTTTGATACCACGAAAAGTGTAACGTAACCAAGTATTTCCCTCGAATCAATGCACATAGACGAATGATAAAGCCAACAAACTAAGTGCACACTAATTTTAAATAGCAACTTGATGTAAATTGAATTGGATCGCGAGAGTGTCTGTTCGCAAACAAAGACCTAAGCCCCATACCCTGTACGAGTAGATGTAAGCCTGCCAATGCCAAGTACACACTATACTTACTTACTATCCTGCATGACAGTACAAGGCACGATTCGAAGGACGAACGCCGATGGTAACATCATCATACGATACAAATAAATATACATACATACATATATATAAAGGATATAGGACGACAGAGCTGCGCATTTTCGCAAACCAAACCAAACGATAATGAAAACCAAAACCAAATTGAATACAAACCAACTAATATGCATAATTTCCGAAATATTGTAACAGTTCCATATACTATTAATAAATAAACTTCACACTAAAGAAGAGTTTTTGGGTTTATTTATTTATTTTTAATTATTAATAAAGAGAATTGGGAATTCAACCTTATTGTTCTTTAAACTTGAAGGCAATATTTATTATTATTTGTACTCAAGCCATTCGTTTTCTTTAAAATCAAAGAAAATATTTAATTTTTAAATATTTTTAAAATATTTAACCTAAACAATTCCCCCTAACTTTTGTTATTTAAAAATTTTTTTTTTTTTCCTATTATTTATTAAGGCATACGGGGAGTACTGTTTACCCCTTTGTGTCCTTAGTGTCTGTTAATTCAGCCCTAAAGCGGGCGCGCCGGCAACCTTATTGGTTAGCATTTTCATAATTACAAAATAGCATAAACATCACATTGTAGGTCGTCTGCTTCTGGCCCCAGGCGACCGAAAAATGAGGTCTCCAGGGTACCTCCTCCTCAGTCTTCTGGGGTTTATCCCTCTTGTTAGCCTATTGGCCAGCCAGTTTCGATGCTGCGCCAGTCTGTCATGGTAGCGACTTGAGTACATGCTGATTAAAAATTAATTTCCAATTTAATTCTAAACTCACCACAAAAAAGTAAAGCCTGCTTTTAGGCTTACCAAACATCTACACAAGCTTGTTATCGATAGGTCTTAACCCAGAGTCTCCTATCAAAAACAGCTGGTCGCTGGATTTTCTAACAATTAGCATAAATAAACAGCCTTTAGCCACGGTTTTATTGTTTCATTATACAACAGAAAACAGATAAGATCCATAAAAGATGAATGCTACAAGAAAGGCCCTTCTATTGTCACCATTTTTGCGGCATATTTTTAACCGAAACATGTCCACCAACACCCAGCCTATACTATATTCCTACTGGTCCAGTTCTTGTTCGTGGAGAGTTCGCATTGCTTTGAACATCAAGAATATAAAGTACGAAATTCAACCAACTTCCTTGCTGAAAACAGTCAGCAATCATGTCTATACACCGGAGTATCTTGAGGTGAATCCCATGCAGAAAGTTCCAGCTTTGAAGATTGGTAAGAAATATATCTGAATATATACAGAATACATTTATCTAAATTCTATACAACAGATGGACACACCCTGTGCGACTCTGTGGCCATAATGAACTATCTCGAGCAGACTCGACCGCAGCCGGCTCTTCTGCCGCAAGATCCTTTGTCCAGAACCAAGGTCCTTGAAATTGTAGAGCTCATTTGCTCGGGCATTCAGCCGCTGCAGAATGTCGCGGTCTTGGAGGTTATCGGCAAGGATAAAAGCCTGGAATGGGCCCAGCACTGGATAGCCCGGGGTTTCTGCGGCCTGGAGAGGGTTCTTAACCAATCCGCGGGCAAGTATTGTGTGGGAAATGAGCTCACCATGGCGGACATATGCCTGGTGCCGCAGGTTCGCAATGCCAGAAGGTATAAAATAATATACATTTAAGTTTTGGAATAATAATTTAAAAGTAAAATACTTATTTTTTAGGTACAAAGCAGACCTGAGCCCCTATCCCACCATAGTGCGTTTGGACCAGGAGCTGCAGGAACTGGAAGTCTTCAAGTCCACTCATCCCTCTAAGCAGCCAGATTGCCCGCCAGAATTTGCCAAGCAATAATTATTAGATTTAAGGAAACTTTAAACATTCGATTTGCATTTATATATCCTTTTCTTTTACCAAACTTATCAAATAAAAACTTGCTTTTGAGATTCCAACCCAAGACGCAATAAAACCTCATTGAATTATAATATAATTTTTATTAGTTTTGTCATTTTTATATAATCGTTCTTAAATGTGTAATGTGTGTAATTCACGTAATTCATTTATGTACCGTCCTAACTTTGCTTTTCTAATTTTCCATCCTGGATGCGGATCTCTTTTATAATGTTCTCTGCGTTTAATGTATGTATGTAGTTTTATGCACTTATTGGCGTTTCCGGTTTGGAGTCTTTGTGTGTGTGTGTTTTTTTTATCGGGTTGTGTCTGGCTGTGTATATATGTATTCAACAAATTTACTATAAATACTATTACATACAGATGCGCAGGACACGCATTACATATTATTAGCATTACATTCGATATACATGCATGTTCTGTACTGTATCTCTAACATCGGTATCGATCGATCGCCTACCTAAGTAGCTTAGCTTTCGTCTTATTGTTGTGTTGGCCTTAGTTTGCCGTTGTAGTCGCCATCCGCTCTATAATCTTTCCATCATTTTTTGTTTTTGTTTTTTCTCGAGTATGACTTTGGGGTTATTTAGCTATGCATATATATGTATGTAGAGAGGAGTAACTGCTTGCACACGTTTTGGTTTTCTTTTTCGCAATTGTACAAGTTGTCTTTTTTTTTTGTCTTTTGTTTAAATTGCAAAAATTATGCCTTCGATTTGTTGTTAAAACTTGAATGAGCTACGTTAAAGAATCTTTCGTTTAGGGATACCTTTTGATTTTGTTTTTTTAAATTGTTTAAAGATTTCACTAGACTATGTTTCTGGTAGTCCTCTTACTTGTTCTTTTCTTTTTTTCTATCTTAATTTTTCCTTGTTTTATATTTTGTAAATCGTAAAATGAAATTGAGAAAAGAAAAACCTACTTTATTCCGTGGTTATGTGAGATGCCTTGGCCTTGCGATTTTCAAATACTAAATGAATAAATCTATAAAATCGTTTGCTTTGCTACTTGATTCTTTAAAAAACTTCAATTGATTATATTTTGTAAATAGAGCATAACTAAATATCGTTGATTTCATTTTGCATTTTTCTTGATTTACTTCGAAAAAGGATTTTTCCTCATCGTTACGTTTTCTTGGTTTCATTTGCACTCAGAAAGGGATTTGGTTTTAGGTTTTTTGGTTTTGCTAAAATTTTATTTAAATATTTTGCTAATATGTATAAGTAAAACTTGTTGCTCATTCGCATTTCGCAATGGATTTAATTCTCTTTAATTCTCTACTTCTTCGATCGATTGCTGGATTGTTTGCCATCATTTTTCGTTCGCCTTCCTCGCTCCTAGGTTAATATATGCTTAGCCTTGGCCCTTGGGCAGGCGGCATTGTATGTACATATATTTAAATACTCTATATACGTTTAATTTGTTTACATCCTCCTCCTCCTCCGACTTCATTTCTCCCATTTGTCATTATTATTATCACAGTCAAATCATAAAAGATTTAGTACTTTTACTTTTGAATGAGTTTCCATGAAGTATTTTACTAATGTTCCGCGATTTCGTATTAATTAATTCCTTCTATATGTAACTATTGAGAGATCGAAAAGTATGGCTGCTGTGTGTTTGTCGTAGTTCCTATGGATACTCCTATATAAGTAGTAGTAGTACGTTGAGTGAAGAGAAGTGCCTTTTAATGGGGATCGACTTTGGTTTGCTTGTATAAAATGAGAGTTTCTACATGTTGAGCGAAATGTTGGACCGGAACCGGAAATGGGGACCTGTTTCAGCTGCTGATATTGGCCATAATTGTAATGTGACTTTTGTTTCTAGTTTTTCTTTGTTTTTTTGTTTTCTAAGGTACTCAAGTATGCAACTTCTTGGGTTGTTTTTTTTTTTTTTTTGTATATGTGTTTTTAGAAGAAGATTCGAAAAATTGTAATCCGAAATGGAATACTATTTAGTACACTGAATAAGATTTCATTAATTTATGACTGTGATGCAGTTTCATGAATTATGACTTAGGCTAGGATCGTTTCAACTTCATTCTTCATTCCAGCATTATGGCAATGCGTCGGTTTTCGATCGATCATTGGGAATTGAAAGTCTATATGTCAGCAAAGACCCAAATGTACATATGTGCTAAATGGAAACGCAGGTAAATAAATAGATAGGTTCGGGATGCACCGAGTTCTTCTGCTTCAATCGTTAAACCGCTTTTATTTTTGTTTGAATTAATTAATATTAATTGTATTTATCACACTAACGACTACTTCTTTATACTTTTAGTGTATGTGTATTTATATAGTATTTAATATTTCACTAATGCTGTATGCTTCTGTGTTGTGGTTTTTGCTGAATGAACGTCGGTCGTCCGGTCGCTCTCCTCTGCCGCTGGCCAATCCGATCGGTTTATACATACAATGCTATATGAGGTTATATAATGATTCAGGTAGTTCTCCGATATCGCTCCTCCGCTCAGCTCGTTTACGATTTAATATGGGCGTCGTGGACATAAATATATATATATCTATATATATATATTTAATGCGTTTCGCATTCGTTAATGTTTAATTGTTCTAATAACAGTGTGGGTGTGTGGGGTGTATGTGGCAAAGCATAACAAATTATAATTAGTTAATCCTTTGTTTTTCTCATTAAGTATGTATGTTTTTATGTGGGTATGTATATATATGTATGCTATATACGAGATTTGATTGATAAATTGAACTTCTCTTTACATATTTTGTTTTGTATTTTAGCAAATTACAGATTTTCAAGAGCAAACTTTTCTCTTTCTACATTCATTTATTGGTTTTTGTTTTTCTTTTACTTTTGTTGTTGTGTGTTTTTTTATATTTTGCTTTTCTTGAAATGTTCAAAGTCGAATTGAATTTGAGTTACTTTAGATATTTATGTATCGTATGTTGTATATAGTTAATAAAATTTGCTTTTATGTTTACTACTTTAACACTAATAGACTCCGTCGTTGAAATAACAGCTGTTTAACTCTCATCTACCTTTCCTGCCATCCTGTATGCCATCCTACTCTCCTGCCTATCCTCCGTAGTTATTGTTATAGATGCCTTTCAATAATTTTTGTTTTGTTTTGTGAATAAAACTCCTGAACTAGTGGATGAACATAACTTACTACAATGCGCACGTTTCCTCCAAAGTTCCTAGTTTTTCGCATGATTGGTGTCAAAGTAGGAGGGGGTTTTTGGCGAAAGGGGGTGAAATTGGCATGACAATGTGTCTGATTTGGGGGGGGTGCTGGTAACAGTAACAGTAAAAGTAACAGTTGTATCGATGGTAAGCACGAAGCAATCATGCGGCCGAAAGGGGTGCAACTTGGACCGCCCACATACCACTCCAGGATGGGGCAGGCGGGGATTGCGTGAAGCTTCAATTTGTACAGCAAATAACAAACGCATTCAAACAATAAAATCCAAACAAGCATAAAACACTTCGAAAGCGGGACGCAGGACACCAAAAAATAGATGCAGCCATCGGCTAGCATCCTCTCATGGGCTCAGCTCAGCTTCGGTTTTTGGTTTCGGTTTCCCTTTCGTCACACACCCCCAATTAGGTTGTCGTCCTGCGGGGAGAGGTGATCACAAATCTGACATTTATTTTTCGAGAAACGGAGTTTTTTTTTTTTGGAATCGGCAAAGACCTGTTTGCAGTGAACACGTATGCATATATGGAGTAGGGTTATTTGGACGAGAGTCCTCGAGTCCTCGAGAACTAGAACTCGAACTCGAACTCGGTATCGATCTCGGATCCATGCATCATCGATGAATTGAGAACTTGATTTAAGGGGAGATTTTAGTTGCTTTTGAAGTAAAGCTTTTCATTTTCTCTTAGTTGTCTCATTAAAAAATTAATTATTTCATAATTAATTTCAAGTATCGTTTGACTCTTCTCTCTTCTCTTTGTTTTTCATTTTTAATAAATATATCTTTGCTTTGTTTTTTGTTGTTTTTGTTTTTAAATACATATCACAGATCCAGTACAAATATAAGTAAATATATTTGTGTTTATTTTTTTCATCTTCCCATCCTCTATGTTTAGATATTATATAAAACTCATACATTAAACATAATTCAGTGAGCACGCGCAATGTGATACTGATATTTAGTACGAATGTGTGAATGTATGGGAAGGGGGTGTGTGTGTTTTCTCAGGTATTCTGTATGTGAATTTTAATGTGTGTTTCTTCATGTGAATATCATGAGTGTTTCATGGACTTTTCATGTATGTAAGTGAGTGAGAGCGTATTGAGATCTGTGTCTGTGATAGATAGATTGGGCTTAGAAATTGGATAATGGTATCGATATACCGATGAAGGCGAAGAAGACGAAATAAATTTTCGGTTGCTTTTGGATTTGGAAGGTTGATCGGTTGATTGGTGGACTGGTTGACTGATTGGCTGTTTGACTGGTTGACTGATTGACTGATTGTGGGGTGGACGAAGGGGATCTGTGTATTTATGCTTGTTGTGATTCTGGTTGTTGTAGGTTAGGCTGCGCTTCAAAGTTGTTACTGTGGAATATTATGCTGTTCGCCTGAAAAGCTCAGATCCCTAGCCTAGACGGTCTATTGCATTTACTCTCTGTCTCTCCTCTCTCTCGGCGTCCTGATCGATAGATTTCTCTTGATGAAGTCATGAAATAATATTTAATAATAATAAAACACCAACATCGATTCAATTTATTCCTTCCCCCTAGGTATTCTGTTTCGGTAATTCTTTTCGTTTTGTTTTCTTTTGGATGTTAATGCATATTTCAAGGCACACTAGCATTTACGACTGTACTTTCAATTAACTCTCTTTTTGTTTCCTTCCTTTCTCTCTTCTTTAGTTTGCTTATAGACTTTGTTCACGTTTCAATTATATTTCATTTTTTTATAATTATCTCTTGTTTTTTTTTTTTTTATCATTTGATTTCATATTTTAATCGTATTATATAAATATTGCACAAATAAGAACAATTGTAGGTCAGTTTTAACAATAATAGCAAAAATTAATAAGAACAACTTTATAACTTAAACATATAGACTTAGCTTAGGATTGGTTGCGGTTCTTGTTTGTTTGTTTTGTTTGTTTCTATATATTCTTTTCGTTTGTTTCTTTTCTCTACGGTGATGAGCGTTTTCAGTGATTGAAGTTGAGGTTGATTGAAATCGAACGGAGCAACGATTGACTGGCAAACTGGCTGATTTTGAGTTGATTCTGATTGATCATGATAATGTCGTAGACTGTAGTTTTGGGATATATATTTTTTTTTTGTTTTTGTGTTAGTGATGCGACGCTGGTGGTGTGTGGGTGGGTGAATGGGTTGGTGGTGACAAGGTAATGGGTTGGTGGTGGCCCAAAAATTAAACACAAAATAAACATTTCTGCGGGTTCCATAGTATTTTGGTTTTGTAATCAAATTTTATTTAAATTTTGCTTCATCTTTGTTTATTAATCAAAAGAGGAGTGTGTGTGTGTGTGTGTTAAACTAAATTATGTGTAAGGAATAAAGTAAATAAGAAAATGTTCATTACAAGTAAGGCATTTATCTCTCTGCAGGTGAGTGTTTTGTATGTCTTTGTGAGTGTTTTTGTATATATATATATGATTAAGGGAATTTTCGTTTAAATGTGATGTTAACATCTTTTGTCTTTACACTGCCTTTCTAGGTAAGATATGTACATACAATCGTCGTGAAATGTTTGTGGAAAATAATGATTATAAATTGCACAATACTTAAAATTAAGAAGGGATATTTGTTGGTTGGTTGGATTTTTTTTTGTAATGAAGAAACCTCTAAATGAACGCTTTTTTATGTGAATATTTTACAAAGAATCTGTTTTTTTTTTTTTGCTTTAAGATATTGTGATGTATTTTTTTAGGTGAAAGAAAATGTAAGACTTAAAATTAAAATGTAAGAAACAAATGTGCTAAATTTACCAAAGAAATGTATAGTTAACAAAACGCAAAGTGACATTAGAAAAAAAATAAAAACTAAGAAGTGCAGTTCTCAGACTGGCAGCTAAAAAATCGCAATGTGTTTATATATATATATATATATATAAATAATATATAGAAAACAAAAGATAAGGAGATAACAAATCGGGAGCACAAAATCATAACCAAAAGGAGACTCACGTGCGCGCGCAACACATTAACACCACTCGATCCGATCGGATCTCTAAAACTAGACAACATTATCATGATCAACATCAACTGTAGTGTTCATTTACAGGGGTCGCAGTATATAGTAGGGACAATCGTAGGTGAATATATTAACAGCGATAAGCATTTATGGAGGGGGCAACAGAGAACAGGTAAGAAACAGAAACTGGTAACGAGAGCACGTAAAATGTCAACAAAGTCACTCATTATTATTATTATTACTTTTTCACTAGCCTGTTGCAGTTTTTCGTTTTTCTTTTTTGTCGTAGGGTTGTAGTAAAATATTTACCTTATTTCGAGGGTAAGTATCACCTGAAGTTTTCACTGAAAACGCTCGCTCATTGTATAATAGAAAACAGTTCAACTTTAGCTCAACATAATGCTAATTATTGGGTGTGTGTGGGTGTTGTGTGTAAGTGGTGGTGGCTTATATGTGTGTAGATAATATATAAACAAGACTCAACAACGGTGTACATGGGTATGCAATCATATAGCCCATGTATATGGTATAGAATTAAAAACAAAACACGCAACGCAAACATACGCATCACAAACAAAAACCCAAACAGTTTTCTCTCTAATGTAGCTTTCATTTTCGATTTAAATTTCAAAGAGCTTCGAATGCGATTCGATTTTCATTTCGAATTCAAATTCAACATTTGACAAACAAATGCAACAATGTATAGTAGAAGGTAAAAGGTAGTAGTAGATGGTATTATACAAATTTTCACTATTTCTCATATCAATTACATAACGTTTACTCGCGTTTTAGTTAAAGCAAAAGTTTTCGTTTTAGGTGAAGGCCTTGTTGCTTGGAACAGAGTTTACTCAAAAAGTGTACTTGGGGGGGCGGGGGATTTTGCAAATACATAATTATTATTTATTAATTGCTTAACTCTTAGCTGCACGCATAACAATTGGTGTTTCTCCTATACCTTTCTCGTTATTATTATTATAATATGTTTCTTGTTTGTATTACGTGTTCAGTGTTTTAGGGTTTTTGAGAAATTAACAATTTGGTTTTTAAGACGAAAAACTTGCTTGTGTGTGTATTGTTGGGGGATAGTTTGGTTGTTGTTGCTTTGCTTTTTTTTGCCTGTTTGTTTGTTTGTTGTTTGTTTCTTGGTTTCTTAGTTTGTTTGATGTTTGTTTGTTTGTTGTTCTGTTTAGTTTTGCTGGTTATATTATTAATTCACAACAGTGGTTAATGGAATTTGTCGCGCCCTCTTTGTCTCCTCCTCGTTGATTTTCTGTTCAATTAGATATTGCGCTTTGGCAATGGCACTCGGCTGACCAGTTATGGTAACAATGCGATTTCTAGTGCCAGGTGCGAATATGCCCTTTTTGGAAATTTGCACATTTGCGCCAGAAACATGTTGGATTTCAACTAAACTACGACCGTTCGGACCTGGAATATTTGCATCAGATTTATGTTAAATATTTTCTTTTAAGAACAATATAATGAGGGGTAATAAAAATGTGTAAAGTAGGGTATATATATATCAGTAGTATATGTGGGTTTATAATTATAGCTATATATATTGGGGAAAAGTTTAGCAGGCGGGCCAAAAATAAAACAAATCAAAGAATAAATGTATCAAAAATCAATAGCCATAAGCTTGGGGGGAGGGGAATGGTCAGGTGCCTAATAAACCTAATGACCTAACGACCTTACGACTGACACTGAGGTAAACATTAACTGCGCACGTGAATATGTAACGAATGTAAATCCAACAAAGATTATAATATGTACGCCTGGTTACCCAAGAATTGCACTAGCCAACTATATAGGTATATATAGCATGTTAGAAGAAATTCGTTAATCATAAACAAGATGGGGAAAAGTGAATGTCTTCAACCTAAAAACCTAACTGCTAAAGCTACTCTTTAAAACCTTAAGCTAACTGATGCTGCTGCTGCTGCTGCTCCTACTTCTGCTGTTCTGTGCGAATTTTCAGTGGGATTTTCGGGTTCAAGGTGTGGCCTGTGCTGGGTGGTGGATATGGGTGAGAGGCAAGAACTTGACTAGAAATTTCGCTATATAAGTTTCAATGGATTTATCTGTGGCTGAACGAACGCTCTGGAATGCAATGGGTAACGTAACTGATCGATCTCTCTCTGGAATGAGTCTGGAATGAAGTGCCTGTGTCTTTCTTGGCTATCTATGTCTATGTCTAATGGCTCTAATGGCTAATCAAAGGTGTATATGGAAGCGGGTTAAAAATGGAGGGGAACAGGAAACTCCTTGGGGAAGGGGAGGGGAAATAAAAATTGCGAAGTTGTCGGTGTCTCTCTGTTGGTTGGTTTTTGCAATTTTCTTTTTTCTTTTTAGTAGGGATAATAGTAAGGACGCGCACCTAGAATAGCGCCGATAATCACTTCCGGCACCTCAACGTTCTTGGAGTCCTTGGAGCTTAGGTCACCCGGTGTGGGGCTCTTGCTGAGACCGCCCAGCTGCGCCGTGGTCGCCGTGCCCGTGGCAGCCGTCAGCCCGAAACTGTTATTATTCAGCGAGACGGGCGTGGTGGCCGGCGCCGTGGCCGAGCCCAGGTGTCGGAATGGATCGAATTGCACAGCAGCAGCGTCCAGTTGCGTCTGCGTTGGCCGGCTCGCGGCGGCGGCAGCGGCCGCTGCTGCAGCATACTGCTCCAGATTCACCTGGCCAACGGCACCGAACACATTGCTGGCGGTGGCCGCGGATGCGGCGGCCGCTGTTTGCTGGTCCAGCGTCGTGACGCCAAGGAAATTGCCCAACGTTGAATGGGCGCCATTGGTATGCGGCACGCCCACACCCATGCCAAGAACGCCGTACTTGGCCAGCACGCCCAAAGCGTTGCAGACTTCCGTAGTAACGTTCTCCGAGTAGCCAGAGCCGCGCATGGCAACCTACAAAGATTTCAGAAGGTTAAATTATGAGTTTAAAAGATCTGTTGTAAAAACCCACCTTAATATGCTCCAATAGCTGAGTGGCAACAGCTAGATTGGGCGCCGGATTGGGGGCGCCCAGGTTGATGGACAAATTGATGCCGGTGCCGTTGACTAGCAGGCTGGCCGCAGAGTTCGCGCCGCCAATGGTGGTGCCCAGCGTGGAATTCAGCGAGGCGGTGCTCGAATTGATGGCGTTCTGGTTAGTGGCATACGGAGAGCCGGTCGGATTAAAGTTGGCCACCGGCCCGCTGACATCCGCATAGGAGACGTTCAGGCAAGTGCCCGACTGAGGATCCTCGACGATCTTCGAGAGGATCATCTTGCAGGCGTTCTTGTTATTCTCCTTGTCACCAATGATGGTGATGCAACGCTCCTGGAGCGAGACATCCTTGGGCTTCTGCGAGATCTGGACATAGGAGCCGCTCTCCTCCTTGATCTGTTTGATGAAAGCACCACCCTTGCCGATGATCATGCCGGCGGTGGAGTTAGGCACCAGGATCTTGACCTGCTTGTCGCGCTCCTGGGTCTGTTTCGACTCGGCATCGATGATCTTTGTGGTCAGGTCGGGCTTCTCACGGATCTTATCCATGATGAACTCCAACACGACCATGATGGCCTCCGTGGAGCCGGTGATCAGGCAAACGCGTTCAGTGGTGCCTGGGAATTAATTAGGAGATTAATTATCTGCTAGAGTAAAGAGGAGTAGGTGGACTCACCTGGATAAAAGTCATGAGACTTGGACATCTTGACCCTAGCACCCGTGTCCTTCTGCAGGGAGGCGATAGTCTCGCCACCTTTGCCAATGATGGCCCCGGAGGCCACTGCGGGCACCAGGATTTTCATGTGATACGTTGTCTCGCCTGCAAGCAAAGAGTCAAGAGGAGTTCACAGAGCGACCAATGGATTAGTCTCGTTGATTCTCATGGGAGAATTGGGGTTCATTTTTGGTTTTTTAGTTATTAGAATTAGAATTTAGAGTTAGAATTAGAATTGGATTTGGAATCAGATTCTGAATCGGAGGTACTGGGTACTGGTACTGGAGGTTAGTCTGTGCCCTCGGCTGTGGCAAAACATTCTAGTTCTGGCTCTGGTTATGGTTATACTCTGGGTTAGATCTAGTTTCTAGCTCATTCGGCAGGTTACAAATTAAAAATAATAACAGCATTTCAGCGTCGATCGCTTGGAGTTAGTTTTTGGTTTTGGTTATAGGTATGTTTTGGTGGCTTCGTACAGAGCGATTAGGTTTTTGGTGGCATGGGGTTATACGGCGTGTTATGGTGGCATATGTTGAGTCTGTTTCTGTGTGGCAAGCCATGAGGAGTTATGAGCTCGAGGTGAGATCGGATGAGGAACGGACAATGCTGTGGCGACACACGAAACACATGAGACCTGGCTTTGTGGCTCTTCCAACCCGGCGGAAGGTCGTCCGACCCTGATCGCAAAAGCAAAACACAAACGAAAACGAACGAACGTACGAGTATTTTTTTTTTTATGGAAAAAATGTAAGCTAAAGCCAAAGTCGGTCAAAGGGTCGAAGGTTAATGGTCGTCAGTAGAGTCAAAATTAAAATCAGTTATCCAAAGTCAAGCTCAAAGCGCGCTCGAGTTACAGATTGAGAGGTACAGATACAGATACAGAAAAACGACAGATAGAGCTACGGCTTTAGTTCGGTATTAATCTTTAATTAGTCGATCTTATTTTTTTTTTTTTTTTTAAAGATATTTTTGGCTAAACAAAGATGGATTTAATGGTATTTAATGAAAGTGTGACAAAGCTTACCATGATGAATATGATTATTGTTATTATTTTCAATTTCAACCTCAATTCCAGAACAAACTGACTCACCTGAAATGGAAAGAGAAGAACGGAAACAATGATTATAAGTTGGGATTTGCAGCTTTAGCATGATATATATATGAGGGCAGATGAATGGGAAAAACGAATTACGACAAATGAAGTACGAAATACGAAAGCATGGTCACAGTGAAGCCTCTCGCTATGATCTCATACAACGACGACGACAACCCCCAAGTCGCTGCCAGTAAACAACAAACAAATTTCAATTAATAAAATGTGTCAAGCGGAGACGCTCTATTACACAAGCAAAAGAGACAACAAAGTGATCCGAGCGCGTTGCACCTGACTGGCTGCCACCATGCATCGGTCTCTGTGTCGCCGCCTGAGCTGACTTGGGGCGGTCCAAGACGTTGGCACTCGCCTGGTTTAAATTTAGCCCGGCTCCCCCAGCTCCTCCCTCGAAATCTATGTCGTCTTGCTCGGCGTCGAGTGTCCTTCAAAAGTATTTCTCTAATTAGATACAGCACACTGGCACACACACACACCACACGCACACTCTGAGGCGATGACATTGCGGTGGGTTGGCGGGTTGAATATTGGACCATTTGCCCTGCTTTACATGCATGTGTGAAAATGTGCGATTTGCAAAGAATTTGCAATGTGCAAAAAAGCGAGAGGAGGAGGAGGAGAAGGAGGACTAGCAGCGAAAGCGAAAAACCCACATACTTAGCACCATGCTGGCCAATTTCCGCCTCAGTACAGGCTCATCGCACTCGAATAATTGAAAGTGCGCCGGACGCATCTGTCAGTTATCTATCATCTATCTGTTCAGAGAGAGAGAGAGCGGAGGAGGATGCAGATGCAAAAAAAAATCTAAGAAATGCATAGCTAAAACACAATAAATTGTGCGGTCAGCGGGGGTAAAAATACTCGTAAATAAAAAGAAGGGAAACGAAACAACAGAGTTGGCCATTTGCTTAGCGATTTTATGGGCCACAAAGGACCAAGTCTGCCTTGCCGTTGACACTGTGCAGCAGCAGCTTAAATTATGTGACTGTCATAAATAACACTTGCAGACCGCCCATGGAGCGATGCAGGAAGCGGTTGCAGTAGGAACAAAAGGAGGAGGAGCAGCTTGCAGGAGGCAGACTGGCGACTAATTTCGTATGCATGGTGTGCAGGATTGGTCGGGGGAAACTAGGCTAACGACAAGCTGTGGCACAAGCTTTGTGGCGGAGCAGGAGCAGCAGCAGGAGCAATCTGCAGCACGCAAATTGTTAAAGCAAAGTCTCGGCGTCAAGTGCTTGTCGCGTACCACGCGACGTATGCGTAATGTGGCGACATGTGACACGCGAATAAGCGATTGGATCCTGTAAGGGGAAGTAAACAAAGTTCCTGGTTTTTTCCTAGCCATAAGGAGGTGTTGCAAAAATCCTATTTAAACCAAAATGCTACAAAAACCATTAGTCAACGTAAATCGAAATTTATAGCCTGCATTTGCTCGGGGAGTCTTAAAAGCTAAGCTTGTAAATCGATTGAAGTGGGGAGTTTAACCATATTTCGATATTACAAGGCCCTTAAAATAATTTTTAAAATATAGCTTAGGTTATTTTAAGACTTTTGAAAATGTATCTAAACCATTGGAGAAAATATTTCGAAGTTTATTGCCTGCACTTGCTGGGGACTTAAATCAAGCTAAGCTTGTAAATCGACAAAGTGGGTGTTTTCTCTACCCTCTTGCCATATTTTGGTATAAAAATGTATCTAAAATGATCTTTAAAATATATTTTAAGCTATTTAAAGAATTCTAAAGATGTTTCTGAACAAAAACCCAGTTTTAAACCCATTTAACTTTACTTATTTTCATTATTCCCCTCTCCATATTTAGTATCTCTTGAGGCAAAATTCCAAACAAAATCCACCGCATGCCATAAATCTTTATGCAACACACATGAATCACTAGGGCATGCTCGGCTGAAGGAAAGTGGACGCAGGTTTATACATAAGACATAATATTTTAAGGCACATTCAAAATTGAAATGGACGCCCACATAAAAGCGTACGATTAGCATATGAGATTTTATATATAGTCGATTGTGGCTGTTTGCTTGTTGGTTGATTTTTTTCTCGTGGCTTTTTTATGCGATTTTTTGTTTTGCTGCTTAGTTTTTTTTTATATTTTTTATGAGTGTTTGTTTGTTGGTTTTATATCGTGTGTTTCGGAATGTGTGCTGGATTGGATGTTGGTGATATTTGGATTATTCTCTTTCAAAAACTTTCAACGCAATGTTAATGGATAATTCATTTATAGCTTGGCGGCTTCTTGGGCGACGTTCGGTTCGGTTCGTTTGTTTGACATTTGTTTAGGTTCAGTTTTTTTTCTCTCTTTTTTTTTATAGAGTTTTTCAAGTTTTCAAGTTGCTGGCGGCTTTTAGAATGAGGCGACGTGGTGATTGATGCTGTTGCTGTTGTTGATTGGTTGGTTGGTTGGTTGGTTGTAGCGAGCTCGATAGTTATAGATATAGAGAAGTGGTGTACATTTTATGTAGGGTGTATATATATATAGTAGAGGAAGTTGTGCGCAACTTTGATAGTTTTATGCTGATGCTGATTGCGTTTTTTATTTATTTTGATTTGAGCATATACTCGGGGACTCACCGTAACACCAGCAGGAGGCAGTCTTATAGTTGCCCAGCGTGGGCGTTGACGCTGCTACAGATGCTGTGACCGCTGCTGCTGCTGTTGCTGCTGCCACAATTGCTGGCGGTGTGTTGGCACCTGGGGTGGCATTGGGGGAGGCACCATTCTCGCTGAGCGGCGACGACTGTTGCTGCTGCAGGTCCATCTGATGGTGCAGAACATGACTGGGGTTAGCCTGGCTCTGTTGCTGCTTATAGCTATGAACGGCTAATGAGTATGCAGCTCTATGGGGGCTGATGTTGCTAATGTTGCTTATGTTGATGCTGCCGCTGTTGCTGCTGCTGCTGCTGCTGTCGCTGCTGCTTTTGTTGCTGCTGCTGCTGGCCAGCGAGTGTGTGGATGAGGGCGACGACGTGGTATTGTTGTTGTTGTTGTTGTTGGTGGAATGTCGTGGCTGATAGTTACAAGCTAATTGCTGCATATGTGTGGGCGTTGATTGCTGATATCGGTATGTGAAATGTTGTGGCTGTGGCGGGCTCTCTGGCTCTGGCTGCTCGTAATCAAAGCCCAAATGCTGCATCAGCAGCTCAGCATCTCCATCCAAGGCCGCCTTCATAATACTCTCCATATTTTGCGGAATTATTCACGTTCCCAGTTCAGTCTTCTCTTGCAATATATATTTAAATATATATATATATCGATTCTCTGCCTCGTTTCCTTATTTATTAAATTATTTTGTTTGGATTGTGGTTTTTCAACTGCTTTTACTCGTTGATATATTTTGATAAAGGGTTGCTCTGTTTCGATTTACTCTACGCGCTTTCCAATTATTAAACTTGTTCAATAAACGAAAGAAAAAGAAATGGAAAATTTGTTTAAATTAAGCTGACTTTTCATGGGTTTCACAGACACGCAGCATGGATTAGGCGGGGGCGAGCGGGAGATATATGGAATTTGTATTCTATGTATTCTATATGTCTCCGCCTCGCATTTCCTTGATTTTTGAAACGCATTAATGGCAGTTTGTAAGGCTTTTGTGCATTGTTTGCTTCTCTTTTTTGTTTAGTTTAGTTTTTGTTTTAAGGATAATGCTCTCAATGATGATGCGGTGGTTGTAAGTTTACATATATATATATATATAGTTTTATATTTATATATAGAGAGATAGAGAGAGAGAGATCAGGTTGATAGAGTGGTGACTTCGCAGTGGTTTAGTAGGTTGCTTCGACTTCCGGATGATGGCTTTTGAATTAATTCGATTTTGGTTGAATAGCTGGCGCTGATATTGATATATTGATATATTGACATGTTGATATTGGTGTTCTTGGATGGGCAGTTGGATTGATTTTAGTGTTGTTCTGTTGGTGCCTGTTCTTGGGTTTCTTTTGATGGTTCTGGTTAAATATATATTCTGATATTTTGT